TTCGGAGTAGGATTTTTAGAGTCTACGTGCTTGTAACTCCGACACTACATGAGGACGACTCAGACGATTTACGACTCATGTATGACTCATTTGTACGACTCATCTTCTCTGCCTGACTGTGGCTATTTTATGGCAGCAGGACGAGTCCATTATATCCGAAAAGGGTGGACCCCATAACACCCCCCTCCTTAGATCCCTTTTTTGGGGGGGTTAATTTTTTTTTTCTCTTGTGGTTGATGATTAGTGGTTCGACGAATTTTTTTTCCTATTTGACCTTCTCATTACTGTATTTTCCTGCGGTCTTTGTATCTCAAACGCTTCAAAGATTGTATCCATAGCGTCGTCATCTTCTGCGGTTGACGAGCTTGGTTCCTCAATTCGTCTTTTCTGTAGCTGGTCGATATGTCTTCTGTGTGTGAACTTTTCGCCTTTTATGAAAATACATTAACTTTTATTCCGATTCTATTGATTACTGTACCCTTTGGCTCCCAGTACGACATATTGTTTCTAAAATTTTTTTAAATAAACCCGTTCTCCAGGTTTGAAAATCTCTTTGGCACCATCGGTGTATATAAATTTTGCTCTTGCTCGGTAGTGGGTAATGGTGGTCCTTTATTGCCTTGTTGAGTCCTGTCGAAAAATCTGCGCATACGCGAATTTCTTTTTTTTTTTTAACGTAAACCACCGGCGCAGCCCACTCACTAAACTCTGTTTTAGATAGAATCCCAGTTTGTTCAAGTCTCTCCAATTCTTTATCTATTTTTTCTATAGTAGCAAACGGGACATTTCGCTTTTTTTTAAAAATTGGTTGGACGTTTTTTTTCAATTCTATTTTGGCCTTAAATTTTTGCATCGTCCCAACCCGCTTGAAAATACCTCAGGAAATTGATTTATAATTCTTCCTTCAATTTTATAGTATCTGATTGTTCAACCTCTAACTTTTTGCAAAAACGAGTTAATAGGTAGGTCCCAAACGTTGAATTTCTGCATCCAGTCGATACCTACTAAGTTTTCAGTATCTTTCATGACGTATATCTCAGTTTTTTTTTTTTTGTTTTGCCGTGAAATTTAACATTCACTATTATTTCTCCCTCAAATTTTATTCGTTTTCCTGTAACCGATTTGGCAATTTTTTGAGTGTGTAACATCGTAGGTCTATTGAGAGTTTTTTTTCCATGTCTGTAAGTTGATTATCGTGAGGTCGGAACCCGAATCCAATTGTAATTTAATCTTTTTTGTTTAAAATTTCCAGTTCTACATATTTTCTTACATTGTTGTTGTCATCATTATTCATCCTTGTAGCTCTTATTCTATTAGTATCTTTTCTATTTCTACATTGGGATGCCTTGATTTTTTTTTTTTTTTTCCACATTCATGACAGTTTTTATATCTGAAGCGGCAATCCTTGTTCCAATGTAATCCTCCACATCGATAACAACATGCTGCTGAGGGGGCTTATATTTGTTTCGATATTTGTCATAATTTGTCCTGTATGTTGTAGTTTTTCTCTTATCATAATATTTTATTTTTCTTTCCAGGGAGGGTGAGAATCTTTTTTCATTGTCGTAAAATTTTAGTTTTCTTTCCGGGGAGGGTGAAGAACGTAGATTTTTGTTTAACTTACGTATATGAGAAACAGCCGATTCTTCAATGTCCTTTGCGCCTTTCTTAATGCTTAAACATCTCTGGCAATCTTCTGATAATTGCTGTAATGTTAGACCCGGTTCATTTTGTAATTTTGCAAGCATTCTTCTACGCATTTCGCTGTCTTTTGTAGAAACTAGCCCTTGAACAAAGATGAGACATTTAAAAATATCCGGGGTTAATTCCGCTAGTTTGAAGCCGTCACAATGTTTATTTACTATTGCGGCAAACGTGGAATAATCCTCATTATCGCCCTTTACCAGGTTAAGGCATTTCCACCTCCTATGAAAGAGTGATGTTTTGGGGCTGAAGAGTTCTTTAAGACATGTCACTGCTTCGTCAAATTTTAATTCGTTCGTCTTTTTTGGCAAGATATAATCCACGAACTTTGTATATTCTTCAGTTCCCAATTTTCTAAGCAATAGACGTAGCTTTTTTTGCTTCTGTCCAATTTTTGACAGTCTATGTTAAAGATGTCTTCATGTCTTCTGAAGTAATCTCCAAAATTTTTGTCCTCATCTAGAGAATATTTGAAAATCTCTATGGTATTCCACACTGCGTCTTGCGAAAATGTTGCTTCTTTTTCAATATCTAATTGCTTGTTGCCTGCTACTTTCAATATTAGTTCCTGGAGCTCTGTTTGTCTATCTTGATTTTCCTTTTGTGTTTGTAATAATTGCCATTTTTTTGCCATATTTCTTGTAGCTGTAATTGTTGCTCATTTTGGTGCTTTTTATTAGTTCTACCAACATATTTTTAAAATCTTCCATGATAACTCAATTTTCTGTATTTTTACTCCTCGAAAATTGTTTGTCGCTAATTTGTTGTTGGACGACGAGGTTTTTTTTTTTTTTTTTTTTTTTCGTGTGAGTTGAATCGACTCGACGCCAATTTGCTTGTTGAACGTCGAGGGAAGATTTTTCTTTTGTTGAATTTTTTCTTTTCCGACAAAATTCTAACCAGTTTCCTGCCATTCAAACTTTGTTTCTGCCTCGTTGATTGACTGAATCTTTGTCTTTGTGGCCAAGTTGTTGTTGGTTAGGCGTACGAAAAATTTTTCTTTTCCGCGTGAGTTTCGAATCCTCGTTCGCCAAGTTGTTGTTGGATCCCGCGTGAAAAATAGGTATCCAATAAATGACAAACGCAAGTATTTAAGCTAAGAAATTAAATGTATTTACACTAAAAATACAAAAAGGTAATGCTGTTAGTAAAATCCAGGAACACGGTTAGTAGCAAATACAGATAGATATATACAGTCTCGAAGTAGGACTTCCTTAGAGTCTACAGGAACTATGGAATCACCTCTTAATTGCTGTTGTTCCCAGGTCCACCTTGTCAAAGAGTGGTAGCGCCTGTTAGGGCCCCAGCTATGAGCAAATATTAAACCACCAAACTGGGGTCAACACATGAAAAAATAAAAACAAATTAGAAAAAATACTAGCAGTATATTTCCACAGTAAAAAAAATACCAACAATAAATTTTTTGTAGAAAAATATTACTAAAGCTCACAAGAAAAGAAAATTTCGGTATTAAATAACCTACAAGGAGTTAATATGCTGTTAACCAAACAAAATCTTATGTTTATCTTTTCGACTCTCGTGTCAACCGGACTTCTGTCTACCTACCAATTTATTAATTTTAATTTCTATCCTGCAGAACCTATATTCAACGTTAAATGACGAAACGTGCGTTACATTAATCAATCTAGATTGAGTTTGGGGTACAGGGCCGAATTCAATAGACTAGCCAATTAGTTTACGAAGCAAGCTTGTTAACAATAACGCTACTCAAGAATCTTAGTAATCCTAACAGAACAGTTATTTACTAAGATTAGCCAGCCACAAATGGGAGTTCCTTGCGAGAGCCAGACGCATAGTGCATAGATCTTACTTACTCAGCATCCAGACAGGTAAATGAAAGTTTATTTTCACTGAACATTTTCTAGTCTGTATAAGACCAATAAAACGAACGCCCAACCTTAGGGTAGATCTTATTACGCCTGAAAATTTCTTAAAAGCAAGATTACTCTCATTTCGAAAGAAAATGGTCAAATTCGTCGAACTATCTAGTTACTTACAATTTGTCACTTGTCTTCCTCTTTACTGTCATTATCACAACGTTTCGGCCATTTTGCTGTTTGGCCTTCATCAGGCGCTTTACAGTCCGGGTAACCTTCAGTGAATTTCAAACTGAGCCCTTTATTTAATCTACAGGGATGGAGTGTTATCGTTCCACTAATATTGTTTAAGGATATCTTAAAGTTCTTATTTTGTACTAGTCCGTTATTACTTGATGTTTCAATTGAGTCTATGTCTGCACTAAATAGCCTGCAGATTAAACTTATAATTACTAAATCACCAAATTCCTGAACAATTATTGAAGCCATTGTTTCGTGGGATTTTTTTAAACTGACATAAAATACATAACAGAGAGATTTCTTAAATTGCTAAAAAAAAAAAATTCTGACAATAATGTTAATTGTTGTCTGAACGTTTGTGATGAAAAATTATTTTTTACATCTCGACTAATATCCTTATCTTTCTTCTTATTATTTATTATTATTTTTTTTATTTCCTTCGATTTCTGGAGTGTACACATTTCTTTCCGGGTCCCGCCCAGGGACCTAATGTTAGAAATGGCATCATGACACTTTCCACTGACAAAAAAAAAAACTAAATAGATAAAGGAAAGCCCTTCGTAAAGTGTGGGCTGTACTTGTGACAATTTTTTGTATCTCTTTGAGGCATGGGCTTCCAGTAATCCCTTCAATTAGTCTACTGGAATCTTTTCCAAACAATCATAAGGCTCCAAATACAACAGGGATTGCTGATGTTCCCATGTGACACATTTTTGAGATTATTATTATTATTATTATTATTATTATTATCACATCGTTTATACTGTTGTGACCTCCTTTCACTAGTGTCATCTAAATAACCTTCATGGAGTTTCGTAGCAAGCTCTTTATTTAATATACAGTGTTAGATTGTTATAATTCTGCTGACACTGGCACAACAGAGAACACGACTAAAACGGTGTGATAATAACAACAAAGATGAGGACAATATTTGTTTTATTGATTCGTTGACTCTAAGGTTCATTAATATTTGAAGGTTATTTAAAGCCAGAAAATATTTTAGATTTTAAGAATTTTCTCTCTTTTTTTTTCGTTTTTTGGAGATAATAATGATTTAGCGAAACAAGTCTTACTAATTGACCCATATCTGGGTGGGGGAGCGGGAGAAAAAAGGTAGAATCATACCGTCCTCAAGGATATTTACGCGTAAGCGAATATAAAGAACTCAACTGAAATTAGAACTCGGCTCTCCGTTTAACAATTCCGAGTCAATCGAAGCTTACAACACCTAGTATTTCCAAGCGGCCAACCATCGAGGTACTGACCCGGCTCGGCGTTGCTTAACATCGCTGATCGTAAGGGAACCGATGTTTCAACGCTATATGACCGTATATCTGATGCCAGTAGTCCGAGGGTATGTAATGTTAATAATGAAAACTTCCCAGGAATTTGGACAGGAATCAGAGAACTAGTTCACGAGACTTGATTTCTAAACTTAACACGATGCTCATCACTTAGTATCTTAAGAGAATAATGTTCCATATTTCGACTATTGCAGATTAATCAAGAGCAAATACAGGCCTCGCTATTCTAGAAAACTGGCATACGAGAAGAGCGAGTTAACTATAGCTGTTTCAATTGTATGTATCTGATAAAGACATAATGTATCTGATAAAGACATAATATATTGATAAAGACATAATATATTGATAAAGGCATAAAGACATAACGTGTCCAAACTGCAATCGAAATCATAGCATTGGCAATTGCTGCATAAATTTCTACGGTGATTAATTGATTCTGTTTAGCGACAGATCAACCTCTATGGATTATTTAATACCGAAATCAAAATATCTTGAGCGCAATTTTATGCCTTCAGCTACAGATAATTTGTACATAATTTTATACGTTCAGATTAAACGTAATTTTTTTTATATAGCTTATCGATGATAAAATATATTGCTGGTAGTGCTGTTATAAAAATGTACAGTTGATATTTGTTTAGGATAAGTGTTACTATTTGCCTATAGCTGGGACCACTAACAGGTGCTACCACCCTGGGTCAGAATGGGACTGGGAACAATAGCATTTAAGAGTTGATTTCACGTTCCAAAAAGCCTCCAAAATTCCGAGAAGAGGCCTTGCTGCCGAATGTACTTTTTATCGCCATACCCAGGACGGTTCTGGGATGAAGAGTTATTATTATTTACACTGTTAACATGTGGATTATTATCCCTTATATTATATATATATATATATATATATATATATATATATGATTTATTCGAAAATTATAACATAAATATGTTATAAAATCACTACAAAGATAGTTATTTTGCTTCAACACTTCTGGTGTCTTATAAAGTGACGGTGTTGAATGTAGAATAAGGTGTTTTAAAATGTTCAAATCAATTTGAACATTTTAAAACCCGTTTTTCTTTTTTTGACCCGTGTTAGTGAAATTGGGTAGACAGCACTATCCAGAAGCCGTCAATGGTTGTTCTAGCACGAAGTCACATGTCATCACCTCAAATAGTGTGAAATGACCTGTTTAAAGACAAATTGGTGGTAAATTAATCTATTCAGAAATGAGTTTTCGACGGCCACTTTAATAAAATTAAATTAAAATAAAATATTAATAGAAAATCAGATGTTCAAAGAAATAGGGAAGCTTAAAAAATTCCTGATTTTATAATTTTTATCCACTCCTCTCGTAAAATCAATATTTTTTAAGTCCATTCTGATATTGTAAAGATTTTTTGCTTTTACTTTAAATAATTTTGTGTTGTTCTTATTTTCTGGAATGAGATCTACAGACTTTTCATAAGATTTATAATAAAACTTTAGAAACTAATATTTCGAAAAATAAATAAAAGCAGACAGTTATCTTTTATGATTAATTTAGGAATCTAATGGTGCGAATGATTTCGGAGAAATAAAACACTTCAGTTCAATAACATTGTCACTGATTGAAACCAAAAAGACAAAATTAATTTTTCGTTACCTTTTTAATTCCACCAAAATATAAGAGCCTCTCACCCTAGTCTTTCAATAGAGCTGTGGTGGAATATGCCAAGACGGCCTTAAAAGATGAAAAAGATATTAAATTTTAGATGCATTATCTTCGTAAGTTACTTTTTTTCTATCAATATGGATGTAATATATGATGGAAGTGGACAGCAAAGATGATGAGCAGGTTCGAAAATTTCGAAAAATTAGCAAGACAAACGTCATTTTTCTTATCCGCTAAAAAAAATTATTAATCGCTTACTCATTTCTTTTTTAAAGTTTTCAATCTATTACTTCTCATAGGTAATAGTATTATACACTCGACCAATGTTTGCGTGTAGACACAATTATACAACCGACCTATAAACTCAATTATACACTCAACTTATGTTTGCCTTTAGGCACAAGTATACAATCGACCAATGATTGCCGTTAGACACAATTATACACCCAACCAATGTTAGACTCAACTAGCAGCCGTACCTAGCTGGTCGATCAAAAAAAGTTTTCAATTAAAACGGAGCAATAAAGCAATTGTTAAGTTTGATGAAAAATAAGAAAGAAACCAGTAAAAATCACCATTTTTCGCTATTTACGCGGGCTTTCACTATTATCAAGTTAAATGGCTGTTAAACAATCAATTTATTGTTGGCTACAAATGAGTGAAGTTTGTATTAGATTGCTTGAAAATTGAAGGAGGTTTTAGTTTAAAATTTGTGCTGAAATCGATTTGTGTTCAAATCGATTTTTTTTTTTGTTTTTCGCGACTTTTCACTAAACGCAGTGGGGTAAAAATAAAAATGAGGTACCGTTGATCTCCTCATGATGTAAGTAATCTACATACCGAGTATGAACGAAATCGGAGGAAAAAGTTAAATTTATCGATTTTTGATTGGCTTTATCTATTATTGATTTTTTTTTTAAATTATCGACTTTTTACGCTAAGAACCTAACTCTTATATTACACAATGTATATGACAAGTTTGGTCAAAATCGGTTGGATTGATCTCAAGTGAAAAGGTATCACACAGATAGACACACAGACATCCTCTGTTTTATATATATATATATATATATATATAGATTATACACCTGACCAATGTTTGCCTATAGTCTAAATTATACACCAACCAATGCTTGATTTTAGACTCAGTTATGCACTTGACCAATGTGTGCCTTTGGACTCAAGTATACACCTGTCCAATGTTTGCGTATAGAGACAAGAATATACCTAACCAATGTTTGCCTATAAACTCATTTATAGACCCAACCAATTTTTTTCTTTAGACTCAACTATATACATGACAAATGATTGCCTTTAGACTTAATTATACACCCGTCCAATGTCTGCGTATAGGCACAAGTATACACTCAACCAATGTTTGACTATTGCTTCAAGTATGCACCTGACCAATGTTTGCCTTGAGACTTACGTATATACACTACCAGTGTATAAAAATGATCAATAATCTTAAGTACAAACAACAAATGGTATAGAAAACCTTGATCTAGCACGCCTCGAATGGCCAAGGCGAATAAATACTTATGAGAGACAACTTCACCTGACGGCTTTGACGCTGACCTTGTTTTGCATGAAAAGTTAATATCGTGTATTTAGGAATTCCTATACTGATCTTTAAAATGATATTTAAATTCGTTGTCACCGCTTTTACAATATTTCTGCCTCACACTTCTTGCAGCTTATTCAAGAGAATTCCATTGTCTTTTTAAGAAAACCCCTATTTTAAAGAAAAACTTAACAAACACTTTCATTGCAATAATTACTTTTAATATTGTAGAACGATTCTTTCGAACCATTTTCACGATCTTTTTTCTTTCTTTTTGTATCCCACCATTTCAGTCTCTGTGCTCTTACGTCTTCCTCAAGTGTCTGCCATATTTCGATTCCGTAAGCTGTAGAGAATATCAAGCGGAATACTTTATTTGATCACTATAGCCAATGGTAAATCGTTGTCTATCCTCCTTATCATAATAACACTTTTCCTACTATCTTCTATTTTATTTATATTACACCTCATTCATCATAAGCATTTTAACAATAACTCTCTACCTTGAGTGGCTCGGGAGCCTTGTTTGGGACGAAGTCTAATATTAAAAATAACATGTTTTCATCTCTTGTCGTCTCTGGTATGTTTCAAGACTCGTAACCATCATTTCAATGACGAAGAAGATCTGTGTCTCCATACTACTGCTCTGTATTTTATTGCTATTTCTCACACAAACAAGCGCCAACGTCACAATTGTATCACTCTTTATAGTTAATGGGTAAACTATGAAAGAAATATTTATTCTCCCATTTACATTTCCCCCATTATGGGCATTATTGTATTCATGATATGATAACACCGTATTTCACGGACGGAACGGAAGAGCTGAAAGAAAAAGGCATTACAAACCTGCTTTGTTCTCTGAGAGAGTTCCATGATGCCATGGCGTACGCAGCGTTGTAGCTCAGACTAGACATCAGGTTCGTTCCCCGGGCGCAGCCTCTTCCTGTCAAACGCTTTTAGCTTCAAAATTAACTCTTTGGACAGATCGTTATGAACAATATAAAACCATGAACCGATTGTAGCAATAAGCAAATTTTATTTGGTTGTAACCTGCTGTAGAGAAGCAAGGCAGAAATGAAGCAAGATAAGCGGGGTTAAACAGTCTAGTGGGCGTGTCGTCTCTTTCGCGTCGTGGTGAGTGATCTCTCGACACTCTCCGAGCCTTTCTCTGGGTCTCCCTGTTTTCGGCACCAGTGACCAATGTCTTATAGAATATAGCGTTCTTTGTTTTGTCACCTTTGTCTAAAAAGTAATTTATCAACAAACCAATTTATTCTTCTACTCAGTGACCTTACTTGTCAGCGTCGTCCGACATGCTCCTTGTGAGGTTCATTTCACTTAATCGATAATCATCAAGGCAATAACTGTCTGCAACAATTTCAAAAACATCTTTCAGGTGTTTCCATTTAACAAGATATCAGCTGGCACTGATATCGCTACACGTACACAAAATGATATATGCTTATTTATCTGTGACCCACTGACCCACACTCAGAAGCTATAACACACAGCTACAACACCAAGTAGCGTGTAAAAAAAAAAGAGAGAGAGCCTTATTTGCAATACTTACCGAAGGAAAAACTGGAGTTATAGAAGTTTATCTATAAATCCAATTTGCTTTTTCCTGCCGGTGTGGCTAGAGACGTCCTTCTTCTCGGGGCTCTACATCGCAACTGATCTTTGTCATTCTATATCCTGACGTCAGTAAACGGCCATCACGTGACTCACATGATGTTATCTCAACGAAAGGGGATAATCGATACTTTACATATATATATATATATATATATATATATATATATATATATATA